CACCAGGCGCGCAGGCAGCGGGCAAAACAGCACCATTGGCATCTCTGCATAAAAGCTGGAGCTTCTCGGTACGTATTGTGATGCGATATAACCTATAAACGCATGGTTTTTATAATTTAATCTGCAATATTATTACAAAGAAAATGTACAATTTAGCATAACTTTGTAGGTATATAGAAAAAATATGTAGTTCACAAATTTATATGTAATTAAAGGAATCACCTCTGCTTTGTAAATTTAATCTTCAATATTGTTACGAGGAAAATGTTCGATTTAGCATAACTTTGTATGTAGAAAAGATATTTCTCGCAAATTTATATCAGCTCTGTTCTGTAAATTTAATCTTTAATATTTGTTACGAGAGATTTATGTACATTTCTATTAATTTAGATTAACATTAAAATTTCGGTTTAACTTACTTTTCATCTTTTTCTAATTCTTAGGACTAGACTAATTAATCTGATAGATATGGAAATTATTCTCGTGTATCCTTGCGTATAAAAAATATATTTTATAAATTGGTATTATACTTCTGTTGTGTATAATTGATGTATTTAATTATTTAATCCACTCTGTCGAAGATTTTTTCTGCACCCATCTAATGTCTTTATGCTCTCATTTCTTTTACAGGGCTTATGAGCGATTACATTTGTTGAATCTATAAACTTGAGCTTGCATATAAGTGGTGAAGTATAATGCCGCAGGGAAAACTCAAAGTTAAGACAAAGCTACCGGCGGCGGCAAAGGCAAAAGCCAACAAGAGCAAGAAAGGCCCTGCTATCCAAAGACGTGGAAGTAAGTGATTACTGTGATTAGGAAAGAGTAAGCTTTCTTGAATCATAATGATATTGAGATTATGGTAATATTCTCTTTCTCAAAGATGCCCCTGTTCAGCCGAAGAAGACAAAGTTGCAAGAAGCGCAGAAATTGAAGAAGATGATCTCAAAGACGGTGAACACCGCGGTGGAAGATGACTTGCGAGGGAGAGCCTTAGAAGGAAGAAAAACCCTCAGAAAGAAAGATCCTTCCAGTTCGAAGAAACAGTGATACGTTAAGTGTTATAATACCTGCTTACATCAGTAATACATGATTTACGTATGTACGTATCTTTCTTAATTAAAAGATATTGTTCTGTTCGATACTATTTATTGGAAAAGGGATGTGGTCACAGTGAGGAAAGTGAAGAGAGAATTTCTTTCCATTTATTGCGCTCGCGTAACTGAAGCTTAGTTTATATTTAAATAACGTTTATAAATTACTGACAAGCGCGAACTCACCAATCCGGTCGGTTTTATCCTTCTTCCTATCAGAATAAATATCGTTTAATAATATTACCTAATTTACAAGGAAATATTATACAGGAGGCCTTATGGCACTCTGGGCCTTCCATACTTTCAACAATTCTGACGTAATCTGTACGTCGGAATGAAAGACCTGTATACTGTCATTTTATCACCCTTTCGTGATAAGGTGACAAAATCGCCGGAGTAATTTAAAGATGTATTAAAATGTCATATATTATCTCTTCTTAATGTTCTGTTGCGTATTTTCTAAATCACATTGTGTTAAGGCTGCTCCAAACATCGTGGCACCGGTTCTTCCGGTTCTCGAGAGATCCTCTTGGGATAGTTTTACGGGGAAGCGACCTGAAATTCGACGATTTAAAACCATTGCGACGGACAGACGATTGCTCGAAAGGATTAGGATTATTTCGGGATGTCGGATCCTTACCACTAATAAATGTCCACTCTCTCGATTTTTACTGATCGCCGGAGTGGCGCCGGTCCTAACTTCAATGACTCCCTCCTTACCGCTGACTAGTTTGTGGGACACACTGAGACACATGACATTGTAAATATTAGTAGAAGTAGGGTAAAAAGTAGCAAACAACAGATTAGCCAAATTGAATTTTCATTGAATATATCATTAAAGGGATAAATATAATGTTGAAAAAATTGGATGGGAACTTACGATTCGGTATTGACGATTTTAAGAATATTCGGATTGGTGATATCGATCGCTTTCGTTAACGCTTCTATTAAATGCGGAACTTCCAAGATCAAATCACCCTGTAAAGCAGAAATGCGCGGAACTATAGATCACCTGTTTATATTTATTGATTTTAATAAATCACTTAATTTTAAATTACTTTTCACTTCTAATTTAGTTTATTCCAGTTGCTAAACATCAAATTATTTATTAATTTTCGTATTATATCATTATAAGCAAATAATTTATCATTTGCTTATATACTTTTTTTATTTTTTACTGTTAGCTTGAAATAATTCTCTTTAGAGTTAAAGATATTAAGATTTTTATTGAAATTCTAGGTATTATACCTTATCCTTTTTCAATTCGGGTGGTATCCTAACGACGAGTAAATTATCCGACTCCCTGGTAACGACCAACTCCTCGATAGCCTTGTAAGGTAGACGATGCTTAAGCTTGAAGGTTTTAAGGGTGTCGAGAATGTATACGGCATTCTGTGTTAAAATGAGTACTCTCTCGCGTGGCTTATACCCATGCCGATCGTATTTAATGACGGGAGTGGCGTACTAAAAGCATGGATTGTAATTTTAGGATTTCCATTTTATAGAATTCATTTTAAATACATATAGCATGAAAGAAAAAAAATTAGTATTGCAATGACTTTCGGATTTATCTTTACCTTTATGTTTTCTCCGGATGTCAAAATGTTATTCGTAAAGCTCTGTCGCAGTGCTTTGTACTCCTCACCGAGACGATCGGTTACAAATCTCGGACCTACACTCTTTGCGTAAGATTTCTTCTTATTCTTGAACAAAGACTCGGCAAGAATCTTTAACTCAAAATGGTCTTTGTCCTCCTTGCTTAACGCCTTTCGATAACAACGGGCTTTCCATAGCATATGCATTACGCGCAAATGCTCTGATGCCTGTGCAATTACATATATTTACTATATCGTTTATTATGCAACGGAAAATGA